ATAAAAATTAAAATTAATATAAAAAATCATTAAATCATAGAAGCACCAACCAAATATATAAATTTTTTGGAACAATAATTCGTGTTGCCGACGGCGTTTACAAAAAAATAAATTTATTAAAGATACCGTTGGTATGTACTGTATATTCTCGTGAAAATATATAAGTATAATACCTCATGGTTAGCAGCGTAATCGCAGCGGCGCTTATGTGTCATCCTCATTAATTGTTAATTGGACAATTAAAAAGTAATCGTCTTCAAACGCCTAAACGCCTCTGCAACAGCGACGGCTCTGCAGTGCTCTTGTTGTTGCTGTCGTCCGTCAAATTGGTATTATAAATCGATTCATAGCAGTTATCATATAAATATATAAAAAAGAAATATTCACAGTGTTTGTGACTGTCTGTGGCTTTATATTGATTAGCTATTTTTTCTGTATGAGTACATATGATTAATTAAAAAAAAAAACTAAGACAAAATTTAAAAAAAAAATAAGAAAAAAATAAGAAAAAAATTGGAAAAATATTTTAAAAAGATATATATTGAAAATATGAAGAATTAGCAGTAATTTGTGCCTCTGTAGACCTGGGCCGTTACTAAAAGGTGCACTGCTTCTACTTTATAGCCAACCTATGGCTAAAAACACATTTATTCCTGTCAGAACCAAATCTTTTTTGAAAAAAATAATAAAAGGAAATATACACTTCGCCTGTATACCCCTATAACACAACTGTTTTCAGATTTAGGCTAGGAGGTATACGAAAATGTAGGAAACTAAACCCAGAAAGGCGTAACTCTAATCCAAGTTTTACTCAAAACAAAAGAAGAAATTCAGAGGGACAAATGCTTAGATAACTTTTAAAGAGATTTAAGTAAAAAAACGAGTTTTTGAAGCATCTAAAGCAGGCCCTTAAACTAAAAATATCAGTTATCTCAGCACCATTCTTGCCCTTTAAAACCTAATTTACATCGAATTCTCAATTTAGTTTAAATAATAGGATCTCTTGAATACAGAACAAACTTTTGTGGATAATTTTCTGATCACACTTCCAGAGAAATATTTAACTTTGAAAGGTTTACACCTTTTCATTCACGATCTTTTAACCTCGCCAGAAAGAACCTGGGATTTAATAATTTAAGAAAAAAGAGAATAATTTTTGCGTTCTAAACCAGATTCTGATTTTGAAAACTATGGAAATAGTCCTGATGTTGTACTCCTACAAGATGTTTCTGAAATAAGCGTCTTTGTATAAATATCTTTATGAACTTTTCGCGCTAGATTAGTTTAAGTTTCTGGGCTGAACTTGCATGGGATAAATGTATGTGTTATTAGCATATGGACTACTGAAGTTTTTTTTTATCAAAAACGAAATGTAAACGCAAACTTTCATATAAATACATATGTATTTGGCATATCACAAATCTGCTCAGACTTTTCGAATCTACATTGAGCTAAACGCCTTCAAAACCTTTTTGACACAATTCAAAAGCCTCGTAACAAAAATAATATCAGCCTTAAACTGATTACCGAACTCTTACTTGAAAGTAACATATGGAAAATGTCGTGCAGGCGAGACAAAGAGAAAATATGAAGGTCTTCTTCAATATTTCCAGGTCAGGTTAGGTAGAAGAGGCATGGTAGTACCGCTGATTACACTACTCTAGCAAATAATAATGGATATCATGGTACAGCAAAAATCAAAGAATTTAAAACACATACGCGATGCATAAAATTTGAATTTAATTTTACATTTTCCACTATAATTTTATTATATTTTTTTGTTTTACAGTAAATCGAAAAATCCACGGCATAAATAAATGAGAAAAATTTGTTAAAACAAAACGATAAAAGGTGAGATGGAAATAGCGGAAATTTAAAATCATAAAAACTTAAGAAATTTAGTGTAAAAATCTGTCTCCTCAACAAAAAACCGGGAGGCGAAGATACTGGCTTCTAAGTAACGCACAGTGTTCAATATCGACGCAAAAAGTGTTTACAAGTGTAATTTTATAAATCAAAAATATAAAAATAAAATTTCTTCGACATATTTCTCGTCAAAATGGCCAACTACAATTCAAATTGTGGCTATTATGACGACTACATCGGCTATTATACCAACACGAATGTGTATCAACAGGATTATTGCATGCAACCGGAGTATGAATACAACAAACATGAATATGAGTGAGTATTTACACCAGCAATATACAATTAACACATATCAAAAGACACATGCATACAAGTATCATGTCACCAAGAGAAATTTTCATAAAGTCAGGCACTGCAAACAACCGTTGGCCCTTTAACATCACAATATTATCATATGATGCCTTCTCACAGAGAGAAGCTTTGAATTTCGAGATGAAAGCAGCGGCTTTCGTCAGAACAAATCCAGAGACGGTTCAACAAGACAGTACAATGTCGAGGCCAAAAGTTTTCATAAAGGTATAATAATAATAAACGTTATGCTATTATCTGGAAAGTAATAGGACTGAGTCGATTTAAAAAAATTTATTGAACCAATTCTTACAATTCTTTAAAAACTTTCAAAATAGGATACAGCGCTGCCAGCGCAATTTTCAAGCATTGAAGGCGTCACGAAAGGCCTTCTCCGGAAGAGCCTTATCTGGGCTGCAGTGCGCCTGCGGACGCATTGAAATGTCCGCCTTGGTTAGGTAGCTGTTCACAAGAAAGGCAGTGTGAGCCGTGGCGTTGTCGTGGTGCAACTTCCAATCGGCCGAGGTGTCTTGTCGGACCTGTTTGCCCCTTCTTTTAAGTCTCTCGAGGACTTCTACGTAAAACTGGGCACTTACCGAATCCAGTCGGTGCGCGCAAGCTCTGAAGTATAGTCGCGGCGGGAGAATCCGCACGATTACTTTTCGGACAAAAGTAAAGTTTTATGTACAATAAAAAGTCGTGAATGTCTCAATATTTTCAGACACAATTTCACAAACTCTTCGGCATTTTTTCTATAGAAACAGCACACTGTGCGAATAATTGACACATTTCTGACGCAACTCAGGACAAAGTACGGACGTGGGAAAAGTTGATATCTGTACAAAACTTAGTCGGGATCTCGGCTCACAGAAAAGATAACGATATTTTTTCTTATATTCTCTCCCTTTAGAAACATAATCTGACAGGCGTAGGAACGAAAGTCCATTAGATTAGTTTGAGGTAAACTGGCTAGTTTTCAAGCAGTACATGAACCCACTGATCCTTAGTAATGCCAGATGGAAGCTTTGTTTAATTTGAGCAGAAGTATTTGTCAGACAGGACGTCAATGCTTTTTCGAACATTAAGAGCGACTTGGTGTATAATTTAGTTACGTTATCTAGTTGGACTGCGAAGCTCCTAGATATTTAAGACCACTTCTAGAAAGTACTTTGCAAAGGCATAGGAGGCTCAAAGTACAATAGGTTTGCCTTACAAATGATAGTTCGGTATTGAGTATCAATTACGAGGAGAGGAGCAGCTCCATTTAGCACCTGTGAACATAAAGAATAACTCTGATACAGAGTCTATTTTATAACTGCAAGGATATGCTCAATTAAAAGCCAACAGAGATAGCGGAGAGGCTTATAAATTCGACTTTCTTTTCGATTGACAGGCGCATACTAACGGCTCTTCACCCCGATCCAATGCTTCCACGTGAACTCCTTGCATTTACATTGTTATTTTCCCATAATAAATAATAATAGAGCGACAATGATGACACTTGAAAAGTATAGCAAGCAAATAAATTCAAAAAAATGCCAAATGGAATGGTGAAAATAAATATAATCAACAAAAAATCAAAGGAAAGGACATATTAAATGTCATAATGTCAAAGAAATGAAGTAAAGTGAGCGCAGGTGCATGCCGCGACCCGCCGGCCTTATCATGTAAACGGCATACACGCTCAAAAACACATTAGCTCGCATTTGTTGGCTGTTGTGACAGTGAAGTGCAACAATAACAACACAACAACATAGAAAGAAAGTATGCAGTAGAAAGTTAACGGTAAAGCTTCCGCTCTTGACATATGAAAATATCAATTTAAATGTTGAGGAGGCAAAAACAAAAGCAAGAAAGTGGGAAAGCAGACAGCTAAATGACAGCCACGTCATGTTACGAGGCGGAAGAAAGCGCGAGTCTGCCGTAAAAAAAATCGGAAAGCAACTGTCATTTAAACGACCAAAATGTGTGTGTGTCTGTATTCACCTGCTTGTTTGCCGCCTCCCTAGAGTTGGCAGATATGGAGAAAGCTATGACTCCTTTGGATTGACAGGCGCGCAGTTCATGACAATTTTTTCACGACTTCCGACGGCACGCCGAATTTTTCGCTTTTCAATGCAGACAAAACATGCAATCTGCTTGCCAAAACAATAACAACAACCTGCTTTGAGTAAAATGCCTAAATAACAGTTGTATTAAGAAAAACAACAACAACTCTTTCAAACTAAAACATATGTGCGAGTTCCCAGGATTAATAAACTTGCGTCTACGCGACATGAAGACCAGCAGGCAGGCGGGGATGGGAAGCCCACTCGAGTGCGTTCAACTGCCGCAAAGGTTGCAAGTTATAGAAAAGAGTAAATCCATAAATGACGCTCCGAGTGGTACTTCATTTCCACATAAACAGTATTTGTGATGGGCTCCCTTTTCTTGCTTGTATATTACTGTCTATAAAAATCTCTGCGTATGTATATGTAGTTGCCTTCGACTTTTTCGGCAATAAAATTATATTTTCGAACTTCAGATTTCATTGCACTAAAGCACAAATAACAAAATGGCACCGAGTCACGGCATTCAGATTCAGACTTCGGAGTTTGTTCTAACTTACGAAAATTTACTTGCCAGCAAAGTGCTCGTAGCATATATTATAATAAGAAAGTTGCAATAAAAATAAAAACTAAATCGAACATGAAGTTTTTTCGCCTCTCCAAAACTTAATTGGGCACACTTCGACGACAAGTGCGAGCAAAAACATTGAATTGGCGACGAAAATGCTAATTGACATGACATTTCAGGCAATATTAACAGAGAAATCATTTCGAAAGAAACATAAAACTACATGGCGACATGATTTTAAACGATAACCCCGTTATACACTTTTAAAGGCGATTCAGAGAAAGCAATTCTAAGATCTTAGACTGTCAAAATTAATCGACATAATCACGGCAAGTATATATGAAGCAACTGGATCTACTAAGCAAGCAAGTCCACAAAATTAACCCGCTTTGGAACATAGACTCTCCAAAGCGATTGTGGATACCTAAAGATACCGCCGTGTTCGTGGTACTTAGCGTAGGATGAACTCGCTCTGAAGCTTAGCAAACAAAACTGATGATTAGGTTGCCAAATCTAAGCTTGTTCATTTCAAATCACGACCGTATTAGCCAAACCGAGAACACATTATTGTCGAAACGACATCCCAGAGTCACCAAAACTCAACCAAAGACCAGTTGACTTTTAAAGTGTCTAAAGTAATATTCCGCCCAGATTTAATTGTATGACCCACTAGTCAATACCAGCAAATTTTTCAAATCTTATGAGAAGTGTAATAATTTTTCTTTGTGCGGACTTTACATTAGGTAGACTCCATTTATGCCATTTAGCTACAAAAGTGGCACAACATGGATTCCCACAAAACTTTCTCAGTTTATACTGAGCAGCATTCGTTTACTATGAGAATTTTTCCGAAGTATTTGCATATAATCGCTTCGCAGTCGGAAAAGTCCATTATGAGTAAAAATCACAAGATCTGACCAGTACTTCCTTGCTCAGCTAAACCCTGACGGCCAGTCTATCACTGAAATTGGTGATCTTTTATGAAAAGTGTTATACACTTAGTTTCCAATTCGAATAGGCCTCACGATTGATCTTGAGACCTAAAAAGCTAATTATTTGAAGCGAACCTTCCTTTTTATGAATGTTCTCACATATTTTCGTTGAGAGACTTATAGAGTATGTGAAGCGAAGTTGTATGAGAAAAGTTTCTACCGTCCACTGACAAGTTAAGTCGAAGAAATCAAGCCAGATTAATTGTTTTCACAATATGTACGATATGTAAATATAAATAAAATCTAATTACCTGAAGACAAAAAACCAACAAAAACAAGTTTTCGCTAGTAAAAGCGAGACTTTGAAAAATGAACTCAAATTATTCATACGCTAAATCCTTAAAAAGGAGACTGCAGAGTAAGATAGGCTTGGACGCAGCAAATTAAGACGGATTTAAATACTTCAGCTTGATGAGTGTGGAGAATTTTAAACACTGTTGGAGAGGAATTAGACGGAAATCAGGAACGGAGTGTGAAGTAAGTCAACAAAACTAACACAGAGGGGAGGCGCGAGACGGAAAGAAGGCTTATGAAGCTTGTGCGAAACGGAAAAGAGTCTTAAGTCAACCCTCGTTCGCCGTCGTCCGTCGGTGGCCAAACAACTTTGTCGATTTGTTCAATAAAAACGCAATAAATAAGCATCAGTGGCAGGCGAGCAGGAAATGATTCGGTTGGAAAAGAGTTGAGCTGCGCCGCAAGAAAAAGGAGAGAGAGAAAAAATCAAAAATGTCATCGACAACACATGAGTTAAATGATTTCCGCGCAATTCTATTTCTTCTCTCAACCGGATGCGATTTTAATACTCACACACTCACAGCAAATATAGTCGCTTCAATCTGACAAAGCGCAGCGTCTCGAAGCAGGAAACTCTTGTGGACATGGTAACATGCTGAGTATTTTTTGTAAAGTAATAAAAAAATTTAAAGCAGGAAGTTGTTGTTGAGCTGCAACAAATCGGCATTGACAAATACTTGTGATTACCATTACGAAAGGATTGGAAAGAATGTGTGTGTAAGTGACATAATTTTAAGCAACACTGTGGATAGAGGTGAGTGTGTATCGAAGGTGAGTGTGACTAACAAGCTTACAGCAGTCGATGTTGAGGAAGGTAAAGTAGACAACACGGTTCCGAGGAAGTTTTGCGGAAAATAGTGCAATATCTTAAAAAAAAAATCCTGGAACTCTGTTTAAATGAGATTTTTTTTTATCCCAGAATATGGGATTTGGGCTCCCAAAACTTTAGCCTTTAGTGCTTGCAAGCAGAGGAACTGACGTTTAAGTGAGTTTCCTTCAAATTTTGATTTGAAGCCATATGGAGCGCTGTGGTAGGTACAAGGAAATAAGAGAAAGACTACACTA